CCGCTGGTGGATCCTTTAGCAGCCGGACCCCATTTGGCACGTTTTCCCTACCCACCTGGGACCATCCCCAACCCATTGCTAGGGCAGCCACCTCATGAGCATGAAATGCTCCGACATCCAGTCTTTGGTGAGAGCATTTTATGGTCCTTTACGAAGGTTGGCTCTTGATCTGAACTGTCATCTTTTCTTCTGGGTCTTAGCATTTCTTGGGAGGGGAGTTGGTGGAGTTGAGCTGTAACTTAGGTTACAGCCAAAGGTTGGTTGGTTGGTTTAAAAAAAAAAAAAGCTTCATGGGACAACTCTCAGCAAACAAGTGTCTAAAAATGGGCAACTCTCTCTTAGGTACTCCTTATCCACGAGATCTGCCTGGTGCCATTCCACCTCCTATGTCAGCAGCCCACCAACTGCAGGCCATGCATGCCCAGTCAGCAGAGCTGCAAAGACTGGCAATGGAGCAGCAGTGGTTGCATGGGCACCCTCACATGCATGGTGGTCATCTACCGAGTCAGGAAGATTATTACAGGTGAGAGGTGCAATGAAGGCTTTTGGAGACTCGGGGGTGCTATAGCTTCCTTCATCTTTCTCCACATTCCATCTTTTTTCTTCTGAAGTACTGCCTTTCTTACTGTGTGATGAGTTACTGTCCTGATGCAGTTATGGAAGACGGTGAAGCTGTACTAAGACCTAATTTGGGCATAGGTGATAGGGCAAATTGGAAGCTAGGTCCAAATTATTGGCACAGGATGTAGACTAGTTGAGTCTTACATTGCAGAATTACCTCTGATTGGGGTTTTTAGTGTGATACTTGCTACGATTGCTGCTTCCACATCTCTCTCTCTTCCTTGAGAACAGTGGAGGAGGGTGGGTAAAAGCTTTACGAATGAGGAGAGGAATTCAATAAATCTTAAGAAATGACTAAGGGCAATAGGAAGTTGAAATGTGTGAATAATACGGATCCTGCATTACCAGCTGAGAATGCCTAGACGAATCATGTGAGTTCTTTCTCCCCAGAATGCTATATGGTGTTGAGAGTAGAGTGGTTCTCTTCTCGGCCTACCTTATGTGACGCCACCTTACCTCCTGTTTGGCAATGACCACTGACAACGTCAGCTAAGAAGAAAAAGCCACCAGCACCTAGCAGGGGTGATTCCGCATGTCTGTGGGTAGCAAGGATATATAGGAAGCAGCATATTAAACACCTGCCTTGCACTGCTTTCCTCTGATGTTTCAGTCCTTGCTTCTGCTATCCAAAATTGCCTGCTGGCCTTGTGCCGTGGGGGCAGCCAGTCTGCCTGAAGCCGACTGTCGTATCTGCAACTGCAGCTGAAGCTAAAGCGTGATGAGCTGGCACTAGTGATCTTGCTCACATGTAAGGAGCGCTTCAGTAGCAAAAGGTCATCACTTCCTCCCGCAACAGACAGTGTTATCGCTGCTGTTACAATGGCTCTCATTTTTGTGCTGAAAGCTCACAAGTCCTGTTGCAACGTCTGTTCCCTTCAGGGCACCCGGGTGAGGTTAGCAGGAAGGCAGGCTATCTCTGAAGTGTCATGACACCTCCTTCGTTTTGTTAAAATGAGTTTTCTTTCTCTTTCAGTCGACTGAAGAAAGAAGGCGACAAACAGTTGTAATAAATTATTTATTTGTAATGCTGGCTATGGAAACCCCAGTCCTTGGGAAGGAGTGGAACATTTTTACATACAATAAGAGCTACAAAAGGAAAAGAATATCTTATAAAGATTTCTTTATATATTTAAAACAGAAACAACCACCCAACAAGTAGAGACTTATCAGCATAGTGTTCATTTGTAGAGAAGATTTCTCAAGACTGGTGTGGGTCTCCCTGCATGACAACGTATTCAGAAGCCTATTGAAAATACAGGACTGTGTGGAGTATTCAGAGAACTTCCTGCAATCTTGGTTTTTTTTTTTTCTTACTAGTTTGTTTTGAGTAGGTGCTAGAATCAGGTTCACAACACAAGTCACTGTGCGTGAAAAGACACTCAATGCATCTATAGCTATTTAAAAAAAAACAAGGATTGCAAGTAGGTGACGTAACAAGCTCTGAATCCAAGTGCTATAATAATAAAAATCTACTTTTATTTTAATACATTGTAGGAAATCTTCATAATTTTAAACAGAGCTCAGTTCTGCAGCATGGCTTTTTAAGTCTGTAAATAACTTTTTTGGGTAGAGGGGAGAAACAAAACAAAACAAAACTCCAGAAACGTTTATCTTGATTTTCAGTAACATCACAAATTGTGAATTCCTACCTGGTATTGACAGAATACAGAGTTGATTTTTTAATAAAATATATATATATAATTATCCCTTTAATTAAAGGGAATGATGGGTATCAATAATTTCAAATGGGTAAAAGCTTGAAATTTGGTTTGATATCAACAATAAGCATTAAAGGGAGTTGCAGGGATAATGTTGCAAATGACTGTTTCTGTTCTTGGTTTTTTGGTTTGTTTGGGTTTGTTGGGGTTTTTTGTTAGTGTTACATCTCTCTGTTCTGCAGATGATTTCTGTTGAGTTGGGTTTCTCAGCAGTACAGGTGTCCCTTGGAACTAGCTTACCCTTTTGATGCCTACTTCAAGGGTTAATTTTCAGTGTGGCCATAATACACTTCTTTCCTATTACCTTTTGAAACTTAATCTAACTACATTGGTTTTAGACTTTAGGCAAAGGTTCAAAGAAATAATCTGTTCTAAAATCTCTTTTTAAGAATGTTCCGTGGCTCAAACTGGTACAGCCCGAATTTTGTATGCATGTGCATATTTTTGGAGGACATGCTCTTTCTGGCCTCTTACGTTTGATATGTTCTTAAGAAAAGTGGATAGGCAACTCGGTGTTCTTAAAGTTGTTTTGCAAAGACCAGTCTGTATTTCTCTTTGACTGTTTTAGTTTTGTTTTTGTAAGCAACAACTTTTTAATTGCCACCAGTGTTCTGTATCTCAGGAACTTACTGCTTTGGGATTAACCATGGACAGTAACATTTACAACAGGTCCACACAGAATAACTCCTGTTGGCTAGTTCCCATGTGGATGGTAAAAGGAGAGGAATACACAGAAGGCCAGTGAGCATTATTTTGGAGACAGCTCTGCTTACTGTCTAGGCAGATTTTATTTTTTTCTTCACTGTTTTGCCGTGGGTTTTCTTTGCCAGAGCAGAGGGTGATGCAACCAATGGACATCTGAATCTGCTGGCCATTTTTTCTGCTGGTGCATAACTTCCCCCCATTCTCTCTCTTAGCTCACGAGTGCGCTCTCTCTGCTGTTGTAAACTGTTCGGTGTGATGGTTGTGTCATAGGACCGTACTGAGCCATGTTTGATAAACTTGTAGTTAATCATACATTCTGATGGAAGGCATGGCATTCACAGTGCTTTATCCTCCTCGTGGGTCTCAAAACAGTGTCAGCGTTAGTGCCCAAAGATTACTGTCAGACAGTTAGTAACATAAATTTACCAATTAAAAATTATGCATCGGGGTATTCTAGGTCCACTTAAGGCAGGAGTGTATAGAAGAGAGAGGAGGACTATTTCAGCTGATGTTGATCTTCCTTTTTTTTCTGTCCTCCATTCCAGATTTCTCAGTGCTAAAGAACTGCAATAGTGTTTAATCAGTTCCATCTGCTATATTTGAACTCTCTGTGAAGGTATTAGGAGGAACAGCTAGTGTTTCTGAGATTTGGAAACCATGAGGTCAATCTAGAGTCGAGGATGGTAAAGTCTTCAGTCAATGCCTTCAGTCGCTGTCTGCAGTGATCAGGTGAAATGGTTTTCTTCTGAGTAACTTTTTTTACCTTTGCTAACAGTGGAGTAGCTAGTAAGATCGGTCTGCTCAGCAGAGAGAGTGCCTCAGTTTACTTTAAAGGTCTAATTAGGCACATTTCAGTTAAACCTCCCCTCCTTGTTTTTACCATGTGGAATTTGGGAGTTTGGGGGAGTTCAGCCACTTCAGCCATTTCTTCTGATCCTTCTCTTTTGCTGTTATTTTTAGCTATAGTTCTTCTTAAGGAAAAAAAAAAAAGCTAATTGCCTCCCATGGTTCTCTGTATTTTTTTTTTAGCTGAAGTTTGCAGTCTGTTCAAAAGCTATTCATTGATCCCTTTTTTTGTTTTTCTTTCTTCAGAAGAGCATTCTGATAATTTGTGGGAGTTTTTTTGTTCACATCATTCAGCAAATAAGCACTGAAATTCTTCCATTTTAGACCAGTGATTAACTACAACTTTACATGCAGTGGTTTTTGAAGCCATCTTGGTGTTCGATGCCCTGTTAAAACAACCCAGACCTTTTGATTTTCTTTAAGAAATCTCTCTTATTTTTCCTCTGTTTTGAAAGTTTATTTTTTAATTTTGCTTTAGTGTTTTTGAAATGTCTCTCTTGTTCTATGTCGTCATGGTTGAGCTTGTTTCACTGCACCGTTAAAGCAGAGTGTACATTCTGACTGCTACATTTATATATATCTTGAAGCTTAATGTATATATGAGTAGTTTGCCATGGGATAACACAGTGTAAACAGAGTAGAAACCCAGAAATCGTGACTTCTGTGTTCTCTCCATTTGAGTATTTTGTAATTTTTTTGAAATATTTGTGGACATAAATAAAACCAAGCTACACTACAGCAGCCAGGTTTTGCCTGCAAGCGAAATGTGTCTGTTGATTGTTGTTAGTGGGAAAAGAGTTATTTTCATCTGGGATAATATGGGATGCTGGCCTGGCCATCTTGTCTGTTTCAAAGCTGTCTTGTCTTTCTTGGCTTTATTTTTTCTTTCTTTGAGGTCACTTCATTTTTAATATACAGTACACAAAACGCCAACATCATGTCCAGTTCTGGAGTATATTCTGCCTCCCTGAGGCACGTTTATGCTCTAGGGCCATACTGCATAACTTTGGCATGTTTTTCCGTAAGTTAAGCAGTCAAATTGATAAGAATGAACGTGTAAGGATGTTTTGGCTGTCATGACTGCAGGGGCTTTCTGTGTACAATGGTAATATATTGTAGCCACTGATCTGTCTGAGCACAAACGAGTCGTTAAGTGTGTGGATAAGCTCTCAATGCGTCAGCCAAAGAAGGGTAGAAAGACGAGAACTTCTAAACCAGGGAGGACAATTCCTCTAGTTTCAACAGAGTAGGAAAGACTGCATGCCATCATCTTCGTTTAAATTTGCCTGTGAACCAAAGGTGTTCAGAAGACATGCAAGGGAAAATGAGGCCTGATGACGCATGAAGTGTAAGCTTGGAATTAGATGTAGTATGCTATATATACCCCAGTAACCGAGTTTTTCATGCATCTTATTCTCTAAGAGATGCTACTTTGTGCCAGTAGAGTCGTCTTGCACATAACTGATACAGAGCTGGCAAGAGATGCATTCTAAAGGGATAATTGCAGAGAGGAAGATGCACAGTAAGTCATTGTCTGTTCATTGCCTGCTGAAAAGCTAAGATTTGCTTTCAAATTGCATAAAGTTACATGTTTGTGTACGTTTGTAATGGCTCCCCTGTCTTCCATCTATCAGGGATTATAATGTATTTGTGTGAGCTAGCTGTTTGGGTGCTCCATATTTGCAGTTCGTGATAATTGGCATCTCCAAAACTTAGGAAAATGTTGTGATGCCACGGAGAGAAGAGGCGAGTATCTTTACAGAATAATTGTTTGGTCAAAAGGGAGACGGGAACGCTGCATTCTTGATCTGGTTTTGATCTGTGATTTTTTTCAGAAATAGTGAGGTATTTTGACTCCAGTTCAAGCTAATTAGTGCTCTGAGTATATTGAGAAAAGAGTGCCCTGTTGTTTGAGTGTGCTTGAAACAGACGGAGAAGTATTCATGACAAATTGCATGGGAGTTTGGAGCTGCATATTTGAAGAGGCTGCTCTATTTATACCCTGTGGCATTTTATAAGGGGAAGGTCAGTTCTTGTCTACTGGAAATAGCTTCTGAAAGTGCTTTTTCTGAGGCTGGCTTGAACATGTGCTATGGTATTTATTTTGACATTTCTTCTGGTTTTTTAATTCCTTGTACTTAACATAGAAATTGAATGGGCTTAGGGTGCCCTCCCTTTCTTGTTACAGGTTCTAAGTTTCCAGACGTTAAATGATGAACCCTACAGGGACGAGGCCGAAGAGGATTTTTATTACTGCATAAATTGAACAATACAGTTCCTATTGCAATATTAGTCTTGTGTTAATGATGCCTTCCCATTGCAAGGGCAAAAGCTGGAAAGCCATCTGTCGCACAGCTTTGTTATGTGCATGTTACCAGACTTCATTCTAATGTCATGTCAGCTGTAAAAAGTAACATAGGCAGTAGGATTTCAATCCTTCCTAGGCCATGGGTAGCTTTTTACAACTTACATTCATTTAGGTACAAGGAGAAAAGGGGAAGTCTGGTGTTTTGCTCAGGAATTTGATTTTCTGTTCTTTGAACATGAAAAAAGGTAGCTCTTACATAGCTGCTTGTGAAATTTCTGCTCTCTGCAGAAGCCCCCGTGCATTGGGTTTGGTCCCTGAAGATCTTAAAGCACCTCTCCTTCAGGTGGTGGTAACGAGAGGCCGTGGGGCGGGGCTGCGGGAGGGGTCAGCGCGGGGCTGAGGGGGCCCTGCTGGGCGGGAGGGCGGGCCCTGCTCGTTAGGGCGCAGGGAGCACCTGGCCCGGAAGGTTCTGGCAGCTGCTGCGAGTGAGTCCCTCAGGCCAGGCGGCGTGGCGGGCTGCAGGTAAGAGCCTGTCCCCTGCTGTGACAGGAAAAAGGGTGACAGAAAGGTGGTGGAAGGGAGTCTTGGGGCACAGCCTCTTTTCTGAGAGCAGCCATGCCTGTTTGCCTGTGGAGGGAAGCCCAGACCTTGGGGTACGCTGTCGCCCGGCCCTTCCTGGCAGTGTTCCTCGATCCCAGAGGGAGCCAGCTTCCCCTCTGCCCCTCCTGGTAGTGTCCCTTGGTCTCCAAAGGAGCTGGGTCCCTCTGTGCTCCCTCTGGCAAGTATCTTTTGGTCCCTGAGGCAGCCAAGACCCTTGCGACCCCAGGGGCTTGTTCTGTTTGCTCAGTTCTGTCCATGTTGCTGTGACAGGTGCTCTTCCATATGTCCCAGTCAGCGGCTCCTGTGTTGACAGCCCCAGATGTTTTTCCTCTCTTGCTCTCGTATGTAACAGGTAAGCTTGAGAAAACCTTGTTGGTGTTTGTGTTGGGTCTTTTTCCAGGGTAGTTTCTTACCCTAAGTGTATCAGAAAGACTCGATGTCTGATGTTGGAGGGAAGAGACTTTTGGGTGCCCTGTGTGTACAAGTTATCCTTTGCAAACTACTGTTCTGCTTGTTTCCTTCTTTTACTTTAATGCAAGGTAATTAAGCCTGATTTTTTCTCATGGTGTTGACTTTGCAAAAAACAAACTGGAGCAAAAGATAAAAACAACATAATGCAAACTACAAATCTCAAGTGGACGATTTAGCCAGGCTACTTTTTGTTCTTTACAAATGCTCATCCCTGTAGAAGTGGTAGCTTGGCCCCTGCAAAATCAGCTACTTATATATATAAAGAATGTACTTCCCTGCCCTGTTCCTAATCCCCATCCTCTTTCCCACTTTCTCCCTACAGAAAAAACAAGTGAAGGAATCTGGCAAAAAACATTTATCTGCATAAACTCTCAGACATTTTGCAAAACTGTATTTTAAGTATGGTCACCCGTGGCACCTGACAGGTGTACCGGTGAATATTGATGCAGCGCAGGTTTCTGACACAGCATAAACATGTCTTCCTTGGGTCTCACAAATGAGAGAAATGAGTCTTCCCAATAAACATTGTTCAAATCCACTTTCTGGTTGGATGAGTAGCGGGAAAGGTTAGGCTAATCTTGCATTGCTCTGCAGAAGGGGGAAAAGGCACTATAAAAAACAGCACTTAGTTAGTGGAGGACACTTGGCAAGTAGAGGTCGCAGCCAGGACAGGATTTGATAATTCCATTGCTTGCACATCTCTCAGGTTTTGGAAGTCAGAGTATGTAAATTTTAGGGCACTAAATCAAGCCCAGCTTCAATGTAAGCATGAATAACTTTACTGATTGTTAATATTAATGAAGTAGCTTTCCCTTACACCAAAGCACACTTAGGGTAACTCAGAAGTACAGTTGTCAAAGTGAAAGACTCAGAAAAGATTCAAGCAATCGATCTTGTTACCCATTCTTTTACTCTGGATGACTTTGTTGGATCTTTTCAGTTTCTGAATCTTGTTACAATTCCATTTCATTATTTGTTAGCTCTTCAAATATTTGTCCAATGTCCTTACCTGTGGCAATGTCACCAGAAAGAAGCATGCTCTGCAAAGTTGTTGCTTAGCTTATGAACACTCCTGTTTCTCGCTATAGCTGCGAGGCTGAGTGTCCTGTGCCAGGGAACATGTGTATAGGAGAGAAATTACAGAATAAACTGATGCACTGGCCTTGGAAAATAGCTGTGCGTGATGTCAGTGGAGTTGTATTTCACTTTGCCTGGGGTCTTGGTTTTGCTGGAACAGACTATTAGTAAAACCTGTAAGATGGTAGTTTCTCTGGCATTGCAGCTTGTTTGAATGAGCCCTAATTACAAAGTCAAGGCAATTACAAAGAATCTAGTATTCTTGGCCTGGTAACGTAGTTGAATGTATGCTTTCAAAATACTCAGCCACAACTTCGTGGGGAGTTTTCTTCCCTCTAAGTTGGATTGTTTTATTTTCATCTGCCACTGTTTTATCTTTCTTTTGGCTTCTCTCTAGTCTGTTCCTTCACAGCTTAATGCTTTTTCTATAGTGGCAAATAAAATGGATATCAAGAGCAGTATTTTAAGAAGCGCAAGAGGATGCTCAGTAGCAAAGGAGTAAAGGAACACACTACCCAGTTTCCCTAAGAAGCTCCAGTAAGCTTCAGCACTTCAAAATACCAAGGGTTTTGTTTGTCACCGAGAGAGTGTCTGTGACAATTTATTGGAAGTAAGGGGAGAGGATTAACAGAGGGAATTATTTAACAAAGTGTCCATTTTGAAATACATGAATTCTCTGGGTGCTCTTATTTTTTTCTGTGAAAGGGTCCACTCAGCCCTAAATCTCCTAGTGGACAAAATTGCACGATGTCTAGTGTATCTGCCAGCAAGGTCTCTTTATGTTGCAAATGTTCCTCTAGCCACTGTTTGAGGGGTGGAAACATTAAGGTAAATGAGGATCATAGTTTGGACTTATTAGCACTGTGTAGATACACGGCCACTAAAGGTGTGCACTGGGAGATAGGGAAATGCTCCCCCTCCAGCTGATGTGTCAGGAAGGATGGCGAGCTTGAGGAGCATGTCAGAAGGAAGGCTGGAGAGTGTCAAGTGTTTCAACAGTTTCTGGAGCTAAAATTCCTTTGGGAATTTTGAAGAGTTTATCTTCAATACATATGCAAATCCCTATAATACACTGCCCTTGTGCCAGCGCATTTTTCACTTGGCTCCTGGTTACTTCTCAAGAAGAGAAAAACAAGTATGATTCTGATTTTGCAGAATGAGCAGATGCATGTTTGCAGCTGCTTCCACAGTTTGAAAAGTGTACAAGTGTCCTGTGATACAGAACTGAAATAGTTTGTAAAATGCTATGGTTGACATAGTGAGACGCTTCACAGTGGCTCTGCTTGTAATAAAACAGCATTTA